GGTTTCAGTACCCACATGAAGTTTACGTTCGACTTCTCCAAACCAACCGCCACCTCACGTAACTGCTCCGGAGACACCTCCGCCTGTGTGCCAAACGACACAAATATCACCCGCTTGTTCTCCAGAAGATTTTCGTCGAGCCACTGGATCCATGTCGGCCATTCCACCATCTGTTTGGGTGCCGCTGGTTTGGCTATACAGAAAGGTCCGACACACCATGCTTTGGKTCCGAAGTTTTTGTTCCAGTAATCGATAAACTCTGGTTCCAGGTCGTAGAAGTTGTTTACCACCATGCCATGACTCTTAACATTAGCCGCCTGCTGCTTGAGCACAAAATCCATCATTGGATCTTTGGGGTCGACCTCTCTAAACGGGGGTTCAAAGTCATTCACCGTCAATTTAAGACGAGGGAAGTCCGGTACCGGAAACGGCTCATCATCGGAACTAACCRCTYCAYGTGGCTTGAACTGSRTCATGATGYTGCACATGGTCATGRAAAATATGTTGSWCCCRTAGAAMACCAAACGSGGAATYCYGAGYYTATCKGCGGAGTCYTGAGTCCAASTTAAAAACCCATCGGAGAYTATGCAGCTGACCGGAGRTAGACTGCGAACRATTTCTTCAAACCCAGGCTGKAGTTTSTCAGTGGYWTCSACGAAATTAATGAAGKMMGTCATGGCCGATRGYTTSTCTCCAACTTCTATCCTGGGAGGGACACCGACGAAATCCTTTGGGAACGGCATATCTATAACTGAAACGGAGTCATTCTTGACGGTGGCTCTAACAGCAGAGTAGTTGGCGGGGGTGGTGATGATGGTGACGGAGATGCCGTGGTCGGAAAGAATGCGGGAGAAGTAGAGGAGGGGGATGATGTGGCCTTGAGACATGAACGGGAAGAGGACAAAATGTGGAGATGAAGGAGGATTTGTCATTTTGAATGCTGTGGCAAGTGGTTTGACCGGTGGAGTAGTTAACAGTGGTGGTGGTGATGATGTCGGAGATATCGCAGTCGGAGAGGACGAGGAAGAAGTGGAGGAGGGAGATGAAGGAGATATCATCATTTCGAGTGTGGTGGCAAGAGGTGGTGCCACCGGTGGAGTAGTTAACGGCGGTGGTGGTGACGGAGATTCCGCCGTCTGAGAGGTTGTAGATGAAGGAGAAATCGTCATTTTGAGTGCGGTGGCAGTTGGTGGTGTCGCCGGCGAAGGTCATATATATTTATAGAATGTACAAGGGGTAATTTGGTAATTTTTGTAATAATTAGAAACGGAAAAATTCACACATTCACGTGAAATCTCAAGCAGTCCACAGTTTGCAATAACCATGAGTGAGTAGCGTTACTAACGAGGGAAAGAATTTCTTAAAAATAATAATAAAATATTATGTTATAACTCAATGATTATCTTAATTATATTTTAGATTTTTTTATATTTAAATAAATATATTTATATTGTATTTAATTATGTTCATCTATAATTAGTTATACAAATTCAGATATAGAGCTTTAATAAGTTATATTGACGTGCAATCTACTTTCAATCTTGAGTTTTAAGTAATATTATATTAATAAACTATACTTTACACATAATAAAAAATAGGTTTTAAGGGTTTTTGTTAAATACTTTATTATATATTATTTCTCAATTTAAATAATTGATTTTAAAGTTTTATATTAGTTAAAATATATTAAAAAAGATTTGTCTTGTGGTAATCATTTCTGGGCTAATCTCTATATTTGGAAATTTTTCTCCTACTTTCTGTATGTAAATGATACTTTTATGGAATCTGTAGCAGCTAAACTTTAATTTAAAAATCTCCAATATTCTCATTTTCACATTTGGAGGATGGTTGTTGATACTCTTAAGATTTTCATATATTTTAGATTTTTTTTAATTTAAAATTTCACATTTTTAATGATGTATATTTACATGATTCATGAACATTTAATAAAATGTGAGAATTCAACACAAAAGAATTTTAGCAATTAACACGTGCAATATATTATTATATTAATTTTTTTTTTGTTAAAGCATAAACTTTTTACTAGGGTAATTTTTTGAATTTTAAGGATTAAATTAATACATAAAAAACTTGTTCGGCGCAATTAACACCAAACCGCTCGTCGACACGACTTGTTGGCGTCAACAACCCCGGCTCCTCCATACTGGCAGTCTGGTAACCAAGTTCGACGCACCTTCTAGGTGAGGTGTTGGAAGAGGTGTGGCATGGTTTCACAGTGTCATTTAAAGGCTTTTAAGGCTTAAATCAGGGACGGACTTATAATTTTTTTCAAACGGTGGTACCATTTGACTATAAAAAAATATAGGAATTTTTTTTCTTCAAACGGTGGCATCATTTGACTAAGAAAATGACACTAACATAAATCGAATTTGGGTCTGGGTGGAATAAAAGCCTTGTAAACCAACCACAAGGGTGGTGCCTGATTGGTTTGAGTTTGGCTCAAAAAGTCAAAAGTAGCAGGAGGTCCTAGGTTCAAATCCAAGGAGGAATAAAGATCCCCTTGTGGCCACGGAGGTTCAAATGCGGTGACTCCGGGCAATCTGCAAAGTAGGTGATCGTTCTGGGATTAATCGGCTCGCATAGCGGGTTGAATATCCAGGTTAATAAAAAAAAACTTTGTAAACCAACTATACCAAATAAAACTTGTTTTCATTGTAATTTCAAAATACATACGATGACACACAACAAATTAATACGGTTGCACTTTTCACGAACCTAAATTTTTTTACCCTTCAACGGATGAATAATGCGGTGGCACGTGTCACCGTATTCCCTATAGTAGGTTTGTCCATGGGCTTAACGTCCTTTTCAACACCATCTAGATACTCGCTAGTTATGTGACGTAAATTTTGTTTGCAAAAATTACGTAACTTTTTAGATATTTTATTTATGGGAGGTTCAAATAAACATGTTAAATACCAAAAGAAAGATTCATATGTGAATTATTGAAATTGCATTTGGAATTAATTAATAACTTGTAACCTATGTTCAAATATTCAATTTGAAATAAAAAAAATTCAATAATTCACATATAAAACTTACATTTTTTTTACTTTGTCACGATTTTATTTATGAGAAACTAGTTTTATTTTTATTTATTGTATGTTATTTAGCAATATTTTTAATGTAAAAGATACATTATTAATTAACCAAAATAATTTAATTAGAAACCCTAAAAATATGTATTTGTTTGCATGCCATATAAGTAATAAATGATGTGGTATGGCCGTTAACACCAACCACTTTCTGATTAAATAATTATTACTCCATACTAAAATAGATGTTCAAAGATTTTCTCAAAAACCTTATATATGTGTGTATATATGGGCTCATTTAAGGAAAAACTGATTAGTTTATGGTAACTGTGATATTCAATCTCGATCACAAATCAATAGATAAATTAGGAAATTCATAATTTTGGTAATTTTGAATTAAACTTTTAATGTAAGAACATTTTAGGTATTTTCTCTCATCTCTACTCTTTTCTCTCTCCGTCCCCAGTCCTCGGGCCACCATCCTCCGGTGATACCACTGTGATACCTAAAAATATTGAATCTGTTAAACAAAAGACACAGTGTGATACCCAAGCATATATAAGATGCATTGTGATATCACTGTGTTACATCTCCGATCGACCACACAAACGACCACAGTGTGATACCCACGGACATATAAGATGCATTGTGATACCACGATGGTATCACCGGAGGACGGTGGCCGGAGGCCAGAGGACGGAGAGAGAAGAGATGAGTGTTTTAAAATACCTAAAAGCTAATGAGACCAATGGTTTTTCGTGAGGTCCGTAAAACCAATTTATGTTCATTGATAAATTTTATAAGCTAATGATCTAATGATCTAAAGTTGCACGGTGACAATTTTGTGATTATTGAGAAGTCTCGTGTCAATTTTGTGATTATGAATGTTCAGATTGTAGATCTAATACAAAGGTTGAGAATTGGTCTTACGGGTCTCACGAAAAACTTTTGATCTCACATGATCCCAAGTCTCTCTCTCTCTCTCTCTCTCTCTCTCTATATATATATATATATATATATATATATATACTTGAGATCATGTGAGACCAGCTTGTTTTCGTGAGACCCGTGAGACCAACATTTTACACTTGAAACTTCACAGCAAAATGCTGTGAAGGTGACTTTTTAAAACCTTCACAGTGTTTTTGCTGTGAATGTTCGACTTTTTTTAAACCTTCACATTGTTTTTGCTGTGAAGGTTACGTGTAAAAATGTGGTCTCACGGGTCTCACGAAAACAAGCTGGTCTCACGTGAACCCAACCCTATATATATATATATATATATATATATATATATATTTGCCTCTCATTCTTCGAGAATCAGAAAGATCTTTTTCAAGTTTGAATTTGTTCATTTGGAGTCTCTCTCTCTCTCTCTCTCTCTCTCTCTATATATATATATATATATATATATATATATATAGGGTATATTTCAAATATGATCATGTATAGAATCGTATTTGATTGTGTACAATATGACATACGTGTTTGTTTGTACCTTGTACATAATCACATGTAATTGTGTATGTAGTCTTAATACATGATTACATATGTGATCATACATAAACCACTTTTAATCCTACAAATAATCATATGACTGACATATTTTTCATAATCATATGACTGCCATATTTTTCATCCAACGACTGTTGTTATGTATGTGTACACAATCTCGTTATTACATATGATCATATGCATGATAACAACATTGTTATTTGATCATATACACAATCAGATATAATTGTGTACAACATTATACTGAAAACAAAACCATTAATAGTCGATTAAAAAAGGGATGAAAAAAATATAGCAATATGAATGTCAAATTAAATAGAAAAAAGATGTTTACGATTTAGAGTTTAGGGTATTTCTTTAAATATTTCCAATATATAGAAGCAAATGCATTTTATCCTCTTATTTATTTGTTTTTATGATTTTTTATATAATGAGTTGTGTGATCAATTTTACTTTTTTTTTTTGTCATTGTTCTCGTTCGAACATGATACTCTCTCTCTCTCTCTCTCTCTCTATATATATATATATATATACATATATATAGGGGTTGGTTCAAATGTTAATCAAGATTATTGTGTTAACTTTGTTAATCGATCGTGGCCATTCAATCTTTCAATAAACGGTTGTAATTAATCATGATAAAAAATTATTTTTTTAAATTTAAAATTTAATAAAGATAAGTGAACAAAGTTGAAAAGGGTACTTAGGTAAAAAAAATTATATAACTCCCATACCATTAATTAATTGGGAGTTACAAAATAAAAATTTCTATGATTTTTTTGTTAATTTATTTTTGTTAATTTAAGAATCATATGAACACAACTATATATATATGAACCATTGTGTCAAATACGAATAAAAATTTGACATATATATGAACTTGGACTGCATAACATTTATGAACATAATAAAAAATAATTGTTATACGAAAGGAAATAAATAAAAAAACAAGTATAAACACGATATGAACAGCTTGTGAACAATAGTTCTTTCATTATAAACACATTCAGAAGCGATCCTTCGTCAATTGGAGTTTTATACATGCATTGCATCCACTCCGTTTAAGGTTAACCCCTTGTTCATATATGTTTCTGATCTTATATGGTTGTTCACACCTTGTTCATATTGTGTTCACCCCTTGTTCATATCATATAAAATATATGAACACATAACCGCAACGCTATGAACACCGGGTGCAAACACTTACACAAATATAAAGATTTGGTATCAAGCTTAAAAAATAACATTTGTCTTCATATGATGAAAGAAGTAAAATGAACACAATGGTTCATGATTCATAAAAGTCGGTAATATGACAATATGAAAATGTGTCGTGCATGTACTTCCATTTGAACATGTAAATTAGATATGTATTTTAGTAATTAAATAAAAAATTATCAATACAAGATGAATTATAAAAACACAACACATTGTAATGAACATAATTTCGA